GGACAGACGGACGGACACGGGGACGGACAGACAGAGGGACGGCAGAGCCGGGAGCTGCATCCATCCCCATCCCCCGCGGGAGCAGAGGGGGCTGGGGACACCGCTGGGGCCACAGAGCCCCTCTGTCCCCATGGGAACGCGCGGCGGCCCCGCAGGAATGAGGGCAGCGCTGTGTTAGATAACGGGCAGGGGGGACACGGGCGGTGACGTGACCCTGGGCAGGGACATCACATCCGTGTCCCTGGGCTGGCACATCCCACATCCCTGGGCACATCCCATCCGTGTCCCTGGGCAGGGACATCACATCCGTGTCCCTGGGCTGGCACATCCCACAGCGTCCCCAGCTCCCGCAGAGCTGCAGCTCTCCCTCCCTCCCCCAGAGCCTCGGGGACAAATCCAAGCAGGCTGCGTGGAAATAAACCCTTCCTTAGCCAGCACAGCCGTGTCACTGCTCTGTCACTGCTCTGTGTGCCTCAGCACGGCCGTGTCACTGCTCTGAGTTCCCAGCAGTTCCCAGTCCCCAGCTGGGCACGAGGGATGAATGGGGACACGAACTCTGCAGGAATTCGGTGCCATTGTCGCTCAGTGTCCCCTCAGGGACAGGCTGATCACCATGCAGCCCAACAGGAGCATGAAATCACTGCAGGAGTTGAGTTTTTGGGGACAGGAGCCTCAAAGTGCCCTCACAAGGGGACACCAGCACTGCCCCCTCAAGGGCCAAACCAGCTGCAAACCCAAGTGCTCCATGAAGAGGTGACCCGAGCTCACATTCCCCACGAAAAGCTGCCAGGGCAGAGGGACTTTTAGCAGGCAAGAGCTCCTGGCACGGACACCTCTGGATTACAGGGAAGAGAACAACACTGAGGTGTCCCCTCACCCCTTGGGGGGACTGTCACCCTCACATTCAACACTGCCACACCGTCAGCTGACGTATTTTAATGGGTGCATCACTGGAACAACCTCTGAGCCAAGGACAGAGCAGAACTGCTCCAAAGGCAGGCAGACGAGCGTGCAGTCCCAGCACACTCAGAGAACAATGAATGTGTCCCTTTGAGGAGGAGGACACTCAGGGAGGGCACCCAGGGTCCTGCTGGCTCCTGCTCCTGTCAGTGCCCGGGCCAGGGGGGCTGTGGGAGGAGCAGGGTGGATTTGGCTGGCAGAGCTGGGACACGGTTTTGTCACAGAGCTGAGACAAAGGCGCCCTTACAGAGCCACTGAGCCTCTCAGCCCCTGTCCCTGCGCTCAGCCCGACGTCTCCATCTCCGTGACCTCCTCCAGGGGCTGGGTCTGCACCTCCACCTTCTTTGGGGGCACGTAGGAGCCCATGCCGGCAGCACGCTCAGCCTCCTCCTGCGTGTACGGAGCCTCTCGCAGCTGCTTCAGCCTGGGGGCACACGGGGGGTGAGACTGCGCTGCCCACCACTGCCCCTGCACCCCCTCACCCCGGGAATCTGGGGTCTGCCCCCACCCCTCACCTCTTCTTGTGCACCTTGGATCTGAAATGCTCCTTCATGCTGTTCAGGTCCACGAAATAGCGCCTGGGAAAGGAAAGGATGGGGGTCAGGGGGACCCTGAGACTGAAGGGGGGCTGGGGGGCTCCTGCCGAGGGGGCAGGGTCGCACCACAGCCCTGGGGTCACCCTGAGACCAGGACAAGATGCTCCCCCAGGGGTTAGAGGGGGACAGGGACAGGGGACAGGGATCCCAGGAATCAACCTC